TGCATGTGCATGTGCTAGATCGCTTCAGCAAAATGAGCGTGTTTAGGTGTAGAGCTATGCGCCTGTACAAAGCTGTGTTTGGAGATCAGCCTTGCACTGCATGCATACAGGCTACTCAGAGGTGTCAAGTGTCACATCAGCATCATCAAACTGTGTACCTGGCCAGCTTTTACAGTCAGTACACAGTGGTTGTGGAGGAACTCTGTTTATGTGCGTGTACAACTGTACATGTCATTTCTTGTACTCAGTACTTAGACGCAGTACTGTATGCCATTCACTTTGACATTCATGTGCATACCATGGCATACATGTGCATGGACATGCATGGCATGGACATGCACAGTGCATGGACATGTATTAGATCCACATGGAAAATGTGCGATAAGACTTTCAAATAGAGGGGGGAGGTAGGGGGGTAAAGTCTATTCGAAATGCGTTACGTTTACAAAAAAAAGTGCGAACTTATGAGATGCTCCCTTAGTCTTTTTCGTCCAATGATCTTTTGGATTATAATGCTTGATCTGCGGACAGAACTGTTTCGTCCTTTGTGGACCCATCAGCGCAGCGCAGAGGAAATGAGGCCGAACCTGATAGCAATGAAAAATAAATTTTCCCGCGCGCCGGACTGGTCATCTGATCTACAATCTCACAGGTCAGGGACGCGCGGGCCTCGCGAAATCCATTTTTGGAGTTTGTGGGGCCCGAACGTACCTTGCCAGAGTGCTCAAACTGACAAGTCAGTGTGCTCTGCATAGTAATGCTTGTAATGTCGATTAGTCCAGCTTTTCACTAAACTCTTATGGTCCATGGACTAAATTTTCAAGCGGACAAACTCCCTTTCTTTGGATTTAAGCGAAATTATTAACCGACTAAATCTGCTGCCTGTACAGTATGCAGTGGAGTTTTTGTTTAGTCAACACGCCGTTTTGCACCGACATGATGGTGTTTTGCCTGTGCATGTCTACTTACCGTGCTAGCTGCCATTGCTGTACACATTGTGCCTCACTCTCTTACTCTCTCTCTCTCTCTCTCTCTCTCTCTCTCTCTCTCTCTCTCTCTCTCTCTCTCTCTCTCTCTCTCTCTCTCTCTCTCTCTCTCTCTCTCTCTCTCTCTCTCTCTCTCTCTCTCTCTCTCTCTCTCTTACTCTCTCTCTTACTCTCTCTCTCTCTCTCTCTCTCTCTCTCTCTCTCTCTCTCTCTCTCTCTCTCTCTCTCTCTCTCTCTCTCTCTCTCTCTCTCTCTCTCTCTCTCTCTCTCTCTCTCTCTCTCTCTCTCTCTCTCTCTCTCACGCACGCACACACACGCACACTCTCTTTCTTTTTCTGCTGTGCAGCACGCTGACCTTGTAAAATACATCAAGCCATTGCAACGTATGATTAGTCGTCTTCAGCGCACCGGTCCTGTTGACAGTGAGTTCTGTTGTGTTCAGAATCCTGTTGACAGCGAGTTCTGTTTTCAGAATCCTGTTGACAGTGAGTTCTGTGTGTGTGTGTGTATGTGTCTGTGTGTGTGTCTGTGTGTGCGTGCGTGCGTGCGTGTGTGCAAAATCAATTTTTCTGACCATGCGTTAGCTTCTGTTCCAAATGCAGTGAAACCTCGTTAAGACGAACACTGATAAGGCGAACTGTCCATTAGTACGAACTAGGGCCAATCATATGGTTGGCCAGGCATCATATCAAGTCAAAATGATTCGTTTACGACGAGCTCCTGGACGGCGAAATTTCGTGAAGACGAACTACTTTCAAGCGTGATTTGAACAGAATCAGCGTGTAGTACGAACTTTCCGTCCGCGTGCGCTGGCTGTCTTTTTCTTCTTCTTTTCAGTCGAGGCCATGCATCAAATCCAGTTAATTATTCGTTTACGACGAGCTCCTGTACGGCGAACTTTCGTGAAGACAAACTATTTTCAAGCGTGATTTGAACAGAATCAGCGCGTGGTACGAACGTTCGGTTCGCGTGCGCTGGCTGCCTTTTTTCTTCTTCTTCTTCTTCTTTTTAAATAGGGACCATGCATCGTTGTGTGTGCAGTGCCTGTCGGTGGATCTGCATATTGAATCGCACGGTCTGTAAGCGTGAACCATTGCACACTGTAGCTTGTACTAGCCTGTTTCTGGCTTGTACTAAGAATAAATGCTTTCCATTTACCACAGCATGTACCTTCACATAAGTACAATCCCTACGTTATGCATATTGGTTTTTTTTGTCGGATCTGGATAAGAAGAATTCCGGATAAGACAAACAAACTTGTTCAGTCCCTTGAAGTCCGTCGTAACGAGGTTTGACTGTACCTATCTGCAGAGCGCGCTGCTTTGTTGGTCGAACTCAGCAACCCGGCAGAGAGGAATCTAGACGTAACTGGTGGCAATTAAGTGGCCAATACTGACATCCTGGGTGTATGTGTGTGTGTGTGTGTGTGTGTGTGTGTGTGTGTGTGTGTGTGTGTGTGTGTGTGTGTGTGTGTGTGTGTGTGTGTGTGTGTGTGTGTGTGTGTGTGTGTGGGTGGGTGGGTGTGGGTGTGGGTGTGGGTGGGTGCATGTGGGTGTGGGTGGGTGTGCATGTGGGTGTGGGTGTACATGGTGTGTATGTGTGTGTGTGTGTGTGTGTGTGTGTGTGTGTGTGTGTGTGTGTGTGTGTGTGTGTGTGTGTGTGTGTGTGTGTGTGTGTGTGTGTGTGTACCGTATTTTACCGGTTGTAAGTCGACCCCGGTTATAGGTCGACCCCCGTATCCGGAGGTCTCAATTCTGCGTTTTAAAGTTTTCACCCAAAGAAGCACTACTAACCACTCCCTGCTACTAACACATCAACAAATCATGTCAACATTCCTTATTGGAGGGTATAACGTCCCAATCCTTGAAAAAAGCCAATAAACTGGCCAAAATGTGTACACATGGTGCACTCGTGCATGTGGTGCAGGTCATTTTTTGTAAGATACTGATAGTTCCCGGTTATAAGTCGAATCCCGGTTGTAAGTCGACCCCCACACGTTCCCCTTCTATTTTTAGTTGTAAAAAGTCGACTTACAACCCGAAAAATACGGTTTGTGTGTGTGTGTGTGTCTGTGTGTGTCTGTGTGTGTGTCTGTGTGTGTGTGTCTGTGTGTGTGTGTGTGTGTGTGTGTCTGTGTCTGTGTACGCATACATGCCTGTTGGAAATACCTGTATTCCGTGCACAACACAGCAGCCAGGCAGTCGGACCAGATGATAAAACTGACGCGCTTCCTCAACATTCTCGAGAATCCGTCACAGCGGTGAGAAACTGCTCATCATCCCTGATCTACTGCCATTGCTTTGCCCCCATACACCCTGTCGGTATCAATCTGCACGTACATCGTTTCTGATCCAACCGTCTGTATCATACCGCCGTGCGAGTACACGGGGCTACCGTAAAAGTCCGCCAATATGTACCTGCCCGAAAGAAATACCCCCTTCATTCTTTTGGCTCTGTCTGTTGAAGTCAAGTCAAGCCCGAAATAAGTACCGGCACGGTGCGCACATGCAGCACGTAGCATGTACATCGACATGAAAATGACTTCTCCACTACACACAAGTCAGGTCTGAAAGTTAGTTCGTGCCCGAAATTCAGTACCCGCCCGAAAGTTAGTACGGGTGTGGTCACTAAATTCGAAAGTAAATACGTACTTATTTACGGACTTTTACGGTAGTAGTCTTGTCTGTGCACTGCCTACTAGTATGTGATGCACTGGTGAAAGGTGGAGGATGTCACATGACATCACACTGCTTTGTCCAGGTTTGAACCTTGAGAGGCTAGAAACACTGCCACTGCGAGTAACCAACCATGGCAACTGTAATGTGCACACCGTCCCTAGATCTAAAGATATGCTGTGCTTACACCCAGTGCACCTACGTGTGTTGAGTGAAACCTGTCTTAAGACGATCACTGAAGGGACCATCAAAATGTGCTCTCCTTTTCCAGGGTCGCTTGACTGGAAATAGCATTCATTGGTCTTGGTTACAGTGGTCTTCTGGGGCAGGTGGTCGCCTTGTCTGAGTGGTCGCCTTGACAGGTTTTACTGTAGTTCATCCACGCATGAATGGTGGCTTGGCCGCTTTCTATTGCTACTGCATGTGCAATGCACTCGCGACTGCAAAAATCCTTTTCAGATATGCTCAATATCACAACCAACAGTACAAACTGTGCAGTGACCTTTCTTTATCGATGATGCATAACTACGATTGTTGTTATGCATCATCCATAAATAATGGTCACAACACAGTGTTTCCTGTTGGTTGCGATATTAAAGTTGCTATCTCCGAAACGCTTGTTTAGATATGCTCAACTAATGAATATTAGATGTGCTAGTATTGGCCGATGGGCCATGCACTGGATGAGGATCTTTGCGTGCATGCGTGCGTAGGTGGGTGTTGTATGCGTGCATGCGTGCGTAGGTGGGTGTCGTTTGCGTGCAGGCGTGCGTAGGTGGGTATCGTTTGCGTGCATGCGTGATGGACAGTTCTACTGTATGTGATTTTGCCTCTTTCTGTCGGCTGATGTTGTGCTGTGTGTAAACAGTGTGGATTTGGCAACCTTGGACAAGTGCAAGCATGTTCTGGAGAAGATGCCGTTTCGGGTGAGTCTCTCTCTCTCTCTCTCTCTCTCTCTCTCTCTCTCTCTCTCTCTCTCTCTCTCTCTCTCTCTTTCTATCTATCTATCTCTCTCTCTCCGTTTCTCTCTCTCTCTCTCTCTCTCTCTCTCTCTCTCTCTCTCCGTTTCTCTCTCTCTCCATCTCTCCATCTCTTCGTCTCTCAGGTTATGTTTGGTTGGGAAATTTCTAGTGATGAAACGAACCAAGAATTTTACGAGCGAGTAATCTAGCGAATACCACTCAAGCGAACGAACGATTATTCTACTATTCCACAAAACGTGTACATGTAGCAAACACACAACACAAGCGCTCAGACTTGAGTCAGACTCCAGTCAGAGTAGAGTATACCATGGGCACCGCGCATAGTCTAGTCGTTGTCTGCAACACACTACACAGTGTAGTCTAGTCGTTGTCTGCAACACAGTACACAGCTTTTGTATTCAAGTCGAGAGAATTGTCGATTTGATTATTCGAATGGCAAAAAGAAAATCAGCCCGAAAATTCGAATGAAAAAGAGGTTCAGCATGTAGCGCAGCCCAATATATTCGAATCGATTTTTTTAACATGAGTAGTTGAGGACTAGGATTTTGAGATATGCAATGGCTGCGTTTGTTGCAGAGCAAGTCGATTTGTTGGATTCGCTTCTCTTCCTTGAGTTCGCTGAAGGTCACCTGGACCGAACGGAGTTGCTGCTGTTTCTCATTGCCGTTGAGGATGACGTGAAGCGGCGGATGCTTCATCCGATTCAGGCTATTGGCGATAGGATCTCTCTTTGAGACCCCTTGAAAAGGCGGATCTCGGCCGAGCTCCTCCGCTATCCCTTGCATATCAGGAGACCCGCGGACGAATAGCTGCTAGTGAGGGTGGGCCCTACACTGCCTCAGCAGAATGAGATCCATGGTGAGGTCGAACCTCAAATATTTGGCACACTTTGAGTTGCCCTCTTCCTGCTGGGAACTCACCATAGACGCAGATGCCGAGGCAACGCCAGCAGGGCTAGCTACTGCCGTACTGGGAGCAGGAGGCATACCGGGGCTGGTAGTTGGTGAAAAAGCCATGATTCCAAGATCTTGAAATGAAACAAAAAGCACACTTGACAAAAAACACACGCGGAGCATTCGAAAAGTATTTTCTGTTTGCGGGCATTTTTCAGTCGAACAAAGCCCTAGTTTCGACTGATTGAGTGCTTTTCGTGACGATTCTCGAATTTCACTCGAAAATTCAATTTGCTGATGCTCCGTAGTGTCTCCATCTTTTCTTTCTGTGGGCGCGTGTGCATGTGTGTGGGTGCATTTGTGGGTGTGCGTGCGTGCATACGTGCGTGTGTGTTTCAGGGGGGAGGGGGGGGGGGGGGGGGTCTTTTTCGAACTCATGTTTCTGCTGCTTTTGTTCTTTCGAATACAGGTTTTTCCTTGGTAGCATTACAGGTCCCATGATACTTATTTTTAGTGGAAACTTGTCATGTGGCCTGACACTTGTTACATATTATGGCATGCCACTCATCAATCATATCATGTGACCTGCCACAGCACCCTCTTCATGTATGCATGCATTGTTCCGGCCTGTGTTGTTGGTGCGTAGGAAGTGGAATCTTCTCCGTCGGCGGAAAGCTCTACGCTTCCTTCCACCCTGTCCCCTGATCAGCCGATGAGTGGGAAGTCCGGACCGATACCGTCGATTGGGTCGATTGGTGAAGCCTCGGCTCCACCATCTGCCTCCGGAGCGGCAGCTGCCACAGTAGCTTTAACCACCGCCTCTCTGTCCTTGGTCACCACGGCTACTCCAGCAAGCGGTTCCTCGCCGCGTGCAAGCTTGTCGGCAACGACAGCCGCCGCCACGGCAACAGCGGGTGCGACTGCGGGCACCGTGACGACCGCGGCGGGAACGGTGTCCACAGCCGCAGTCGCAGCTGGTTCAACAAGTACAATCTCGCCGTCAGTTCCCACACCACAGGTTAGTTGCTGCTATCATGGTGGTGTACACTGAGTGTGCAGTCCTTTCAGAAGATCAAAGAATGATGATCTGTATCTTGCCTTTGACCATGACTGGGTCAACGGTCACTTAGCTCAGAATTACTTTAGGCCGCCATGCAATGTGGAATACCGTACTCACGCGATTGGAGCACTTTCTTGAATAGTGCCCTGTCTCGAATAGTGCCCCAATCTCTAAGTGCCAGTGAAAAATAGAGCCGTCTCTTGAGTAGTGCCCCCCCCCCCCCCCCCCCGTGTTTGTAACCAAGCGCATGTGCAAGTTTGGTGTTCTTTCACTAATGTTCTTGTCCATCTCATTGCACTGGTGATTTCAGGATCAAAATCGCAATTCTTGTTGTCGTTTCTGTGGAGTCGTGATAGCTTACAGTAAACTTCAGACCCTGCTTTTCTTTGCCTTCTTTGTTTTTATGCTGGATGACGTAAATGTACCCGCATTGAAAAAACAGTGCCCTCTCTTGAAAGGTGCCGTCTCTTGAATGGTGCCCTCTCTTGAATAGTGCACCATGATGGATGGATATTGAAAAAAAAATAGTGCCCCAGGGACACTAATCGTGCGAGTGCGGTTCTCTTCCTATCTTGATATTCAACTCTCGACCTGTGTTTTTTTTTTGGAATTCGGCTGGGTTTAGCATTGAACAAAGTGCCGACATGCTGGTCCGTAATAGTGACGTGTATTTAACGCCATTTCCCAGGGTGGGGTTTACCCACCATTTCTATGCTGGTCCATAACACATTTCCTGCCGAAATAGAATCAGGTGTTCGAACCTAGGTCAGCCTAAACTAGGTTTCGAGCCTGTAATTATAAATTCAGCGCAAACCAGGTTTTGAAAAGCCAGAGATCATCTTTTTTTCTGAATGGATTGTAGACTGTTGTAGTGCCATAAAAAGCCACCAGGCCAGGGCATCC